ACACCTGAGCTAAATTTCAAGTGTTGTTGCAAAAGGTCTGAATACTTATGCCAATGTGATATTTCAGTTTTTTCTTTTTCATACATTTGCAAACATTGCTAAAATTCTGTTTTCACTTTGTCATTATGGAGTACTGAGTGTAGATTAATGAGAAAAAAAATGCATTTGAAGTATCAGGCTGCAACATAACAAAATTGAAAAAGGTGAAGGGATCTGGATAGTTTCCGAATGCACTGTATATCCCAGTGCTGCCAGAACATCCCAGGCAGGGAAACGCTGTCACTTTCAGTCCGAGATAAGAACTACCACTGTTTTGCTCAAGATCAGGGGTGGGCAACAGATGGCCTTCCAGCTCTTACTGAACTATAACCCCCCACAGGTTTGTAGCTGGCATAGCCAGTGGTGGGAGATAGTTGATGTTTTACTTGAGCAACATTTGGAGGAGCATAATTATCTTTTCTGACTTTAATTTCAAAACCAAGAGAGCTATTCTCACATTTTCTCCCCACCCCACCCCACCCCACCCCCTATTTGGTGTTAAATACATTTAAATGTCTTCATTGGTGCAACTCCCTTGTTTATATAAGGTTCAGGTCTGTTGTACAAAAATACTCTACCTGGACAGTTGCTTTGGGGATCCATGCCAGTGCAATAAATACTTTTTCCTTGAACTCAAAGCCAGAGGCAGTCATCAAGCAAAATGTAGCCGTAACTCGAGCCATTAAAGCCAAAAATATAGTGGCCAAACAATGCCCTGTAGTACAATGACAATCTTGAACAATAAAAAGATAGCTGTGTTTTTCAGATGGAGGCAGTGCATTTTGTGAAATCAATTAGCCGTGGCTGTATCTCTGTTATTTGTTCTAAGCCATCATCAAAAATTCATGGTTTTTTTTAAAATGAGGTACTTAATTTGTAGCTATGACCCCCAACTGACTAGGATCAAACATATAGATCTTCCCCAAAGGCAGTGATTACTGAACATCATCTTTATAGGGGAATGGGAGAAGAATCTTGTTGAAAGATATAGATCTCTTCTGCAAACAAAGTTTCTTGCTTTTATAATACTGCAAAAATAAGACTCTGGTATAATAATACTAAGTTATAGTTTTCCAATCATTTTCTTATACCTCTCTTGGAAAACCACCTCATATACTGAGAACTACTTGAACTATAATATCGATATAAACATCAATCTTGGGATACTGCATGTTCAGTTGCCTCAATTAAAACATTCATAATAGATGGTGACTGGTTATTCATCTGGGTGCAGGACCATTCGTAAACTTCATAACTTTTAGTTGTATGGCTGGCAACATTTTTAAAAAATTGTAAGTTTGCTGCATAGAGAAATATAAGCTTGTTTGGAAGAGGCACTCAACTGCTGGTTTACATATTGCTGTAAAGCATCATGTGATTTAAAATCATGGCTCATCACCTAGTGTGTTTTATGAATGCAACTGATTCTGGCTAAGATTCTGGTTCTTCTCCAAAGAAGCAGGCGGAACATTTCAGCTCTTGTAAGCAAACTTACCAACAGTTTCAGATCCAAGAGAACTAATGGAGATTTCAGCTCCAATTAAACCAAACAGAAATGGTTGGAACACTTGCCATGCAAAAGTAACAATTTCTTCCACTGCTTTCTGCAAGACATAAGCCAGAAAAAGTTTTACACCAGTAAGTGTTGATGGTACCTGTGTTGCAGAAGTGTGGCATAAGACATCTTAAAATTAATTTGTCCAAGCAAATCCTTGTTCTAATGCTAGAAATTGGGTTCTGCCTTTAATTATGAAGAAACATCACCATCTTTCACAGACTTGAAGAACCCATTATGGTAATTAACACAGAATGTAGAAAATACACCACTAGAAAAAAATTATTCCAATATCTCAAAGGCCAGCTGAGCTGTTAAACCTCATGTCTGAAACAGATTGCCTTTATCTGGCTATTTATCTGTTTTTAATTAAATACATTTCAGCTTTTCAATTTGGAATTCTCCAGTTTTAATCTTGTTCACAAATAATGGCTCCACCCACATCAAGCAGGCATCCCTCCAGTTCAATATGGTACATGCAGAACCTCACTCCTATGAAAAAAACTTCCTTGCCTTATTACAGCAAATGTTTTCAACTGTTCACATAAGGGGAGGGGGAAGTAATGGGAAGAAAAGCTAATTAATTGGAAGAAAGGCTATTGAAGTTACAGTATCACCACTTCATTTACTGCTGCTTCAAAGGGGAAAAGTAAAGGTTCTTCTGGCATCAAAACGAATACCCAACTTTGCTATAGACCATAAGAACACAATATGTAATTAGGAAAAAAAAATGCAGTCTATGACTGTTATCTGACCTGCCACTCATTATCAGCAAATCGAAAATGCTGAAGTTGTTGAAGATTAAATAAGTTGGAGAGTGGAGAAAATGTATATGTGTATGCGTAATGGGCTGACGGTATGTATTTGGACCAAATAAATAAATAAAAAATAAAAATTGATTGGTTGCCTTCGAGGCATGTGTTTTCCTCAGCAATACACTAAATGCTCAGTAACACCTCAGGAGCACATCTCCAATGCCATATCAACATTCATTCTATTTTGTGGTTTTCTTGGTAAAAAATGCCATTCCATTCTCTTGCACAGTATGAAATGTTGCCATTGTCACTGAGATGATCACCCACCTCTAGCACCTTCCTATATTGCTGCTGTCCATACAGTTGCCTGCTTGCCTTAGCTGAGCAAAATGGGAAAATACTCATGCCTTGGATGACCCTACTGGAAGAGTCTACACCCAGAGTACTTTGCTTATGTCTCATAAGCGCTCCTCACCACCATGGTGAGGCAGCATAGCAAGACTTGGGACAGAGGGAAGATCAAATATTCATGCTTTAAAGCAGAAGAAGGCAACTTTGCTTTAACCCCAACTTTTGGAGTTTATACACACATTTGGAAGTTAAGTAACTTTTTAAATAAATATGTGCTCTCACAAAACAGTTTCCACAGAGGGCATGATCAATCACTGTACGTTTGCTCTCTACTACTCATCATAACTTCCAGGATGCTTTCTGTTTTCAAGCTACCTGTATCTTTTTTCCACCACCTTTCCATACAAAGCACTGGAACCTACCACTGTTATTTCCTCAGTATACCTATTGCTCCCACATGAGCCCCAAAGGAATTCCTAGAAATACAGTAAGAGGCTGGCATACTGCTAGGGAAGTATCAGTTTCCATTCAATTTCTTTTTTAACTGAAAGAATTTGAATAAATACACCTCTACCCACCCCCACCCTGATACACATGGACACCATACTGCCTACATTTGTCCCAAACTAAGAGTGACCAGTTGTGTTATAAAGCAATACTACTGGCGTCCAGTCTAGTTTTTAGAATCGGAGTCAGTGCTTTGATGTGTGTTAACAGAATCCTCACCTTGTCATCAGACCATGCAGTCCCAGCCATAAATGCCAAAACAATGACACAGAGTCCTCCAGATCCTGGAAAGCCAGAATATTTGCTGCTCAAAATAGAAAATGCAGACCAGCCAACTATAAAGAAGGCTCTTTTCCGTACAATGGATGTCTGAAAGAAGAGAGGGAAATGGAAAAGGTTTATAATTCACTGTTATCACTAGAGTGCAAAAGGACAAAACGTGTTGTACACTGCCTCCTGGTGGTCAGGTAAAGTGTAAATCTACAGGAATGTATACTGAAATAGGACCCCACCCTCCCCAGTGGGGTTATGAAGTAATATCAGCTTTCTCTATCAAGTCTGAGAGCTAATATGAAAAATAGTATATTCTTCCCCTAGAAAACTGAGAAGGAGATAACCCTAATTTTCACTTCTTGCTGACCGGAAACCCAACTTTTCAGTAATAATGTATTACTATTCGTTTGTGAAGAACTGAAAACCCAGGCAGTTCAAATATACTACTTCTGCAGCTACTGCACTGCAAGCAACCAGAGCTCTCTCTTTAACATGTCTTTAAATGATGACAATATGATATTGCACTTAAAAGAATCTCAGGGAACAGAAAAAGTTATGTTTTCATGGGGCCTTACCACCAATGATTAAAAAAAAAAATCTAGAAATTACAGTGGCTCTGTATCTTTTGGGCAGTGTATAAATTTACAACCTCTAGATCATATTATTGGCTGCTGAAGTGACCAATGCTTCTGGACTTCTTTATTTTGCCATTGTCTTGCTTCATTTGTAGAAGTACATATGGATAGTGTACTATAGGACAGTGTTTCTCAACCTTGACAACTTTAAGATGGGTAGACTTCAACTCCCAGCATGCTGGCTGGGGAATTCTGGGAGCTGAAGTCTACCCATCTTAAAGTTGTCAAGATTGAGAAACCTTGCTCTAGGACACAGATAATTTCCACTTTATAAATTTTCAATCATTCTTACTTCATGAGACATAAGTCCATGTCTACAAATCAAGAAGCTGGATAATTAAACCTCCCTGGTGGACCCCTACTTCCAACGTTCCCTAGTAAATGATAATAATGACAGGCTGCCATTAGTCAGGCTAAACCTCCTGAGTCCCTTAGTCTGTCCAGCTGGGAAGTTCTTAGCCCTCGTACACTTCAGCCCAGATCTAGGAAAAAAAGAAAGAAATTTGCTCCAGCCAATGCCCAGTAATACAAAATTTAACAAAGCTTGGGCCAACCCTGAACCTCAAGGGATAGCTATGTAACTCTGCAGTCTTGCACGTGGGGAATGTTTTAATGAGAAATTCCCTTAAAAAAAAAAAACAATTTGCACCATATCTATAAAGAGGAGTTTATTAGAAAAATGTAAGCATAGGGAAAACAAGTGAAGGCAACAATCACACACACAGAAGTCCAAATAAATCAATACAATCAGCCAGTTGAAGGACTACTTACCTACCTGAATAAGGTCCTAGGTTTCAGGATGTGTCCACTGCAGAGTGGGTGAACGGAGAGCGATCGTCTGGACCTCTTGTAGGCCTTTCTTGTTCCTTCTTTATTCTTCTTGTTTTTCTTTCCCTCTGATACTTATCTCCAGTTTTATAGAATATAGTGAATAAGTGGAAGCTAGCCTCTTTGCAGAGACTTAGTGTTGCTTTGCCCTACCAAGGATAATGTCCCATCTGTAATATCCTAGCTCTAGCTGGCAAAATGGAAATTATCTAGGTGCTAAACCTACTTTCCCACCCTTGATGGAATGATCACTTTTTAGTCTAGTTTTCACCAGTTCTGCCTTTGTATAAATGGGATTACAACACTTTTTGGAAACAATAGCGGGATTCCATCTAATTTTCCAACAGTATTTTTTTTTACCTGATCCTTGCTGGGAAAGTACCAAACAAAAAATCCCAAAAGGCATCCAGCGCCTGTACCGATAACCACTTCCACCAGACCACGAAAGATACTACGAAGACTGGAACCTAAGCAAAAGCAATGGGGAAAGAGTCAAGCAGGTATTTTAATGTACTTTCTTTTTCAGTAATTCGGAAATATAATTACCCGATTTCTACAAAAACTAGGAAAAATATTTTTTCATGCATTTGAGATGGGTGGCCATATAAATTAGAAAAACAAACACAGGTAGTCTCCAGATTAAGAATCAGTTCCATTCCTAAGCCTGTCTTTTACAAATGGGCTGTCTGTTACTAAAATGGCGGACTGCATTCTCCTTCCTCGAGCCAATGAACCACTGAGGTTGCATGATGTTTTCATGAACTGCTGAAAACAGGCTGTATATTAAAAACACGTGGTTTCAGTGGTTCATGAAAACATTGTGTGACTTTAGGGGTTTGTTGACTCAAGGAAGGAGGACGCTTCCACCATTTTTAATAACAGGCAGCCCATTTGTAAGTATGAGTCGTCCATAAGTCAGATGTTCTTAACCCAGGGATTGCCTGTACATAAACAATGTTGCGGCAAGAAATCAAAGTACAACTCCAGAAGATAAGGCAGGATTGCCTCTAATCAGCATTTCTGCATCCTGAAAACCAGATGCACAACAGAAAGGTAAAACAATTGGCATCAGAGGACTCGAAAGGCATAGACTTGAAGAAATGCAGATCTCTCTTTTTTAAAGTTCCAAACTAATGTGGCTTAAGGAATATTTCTCTATTAAGGCCTTTCCCCACTTGTTTCATGCCCTGGCAACCTTTTGGACTGTGCCATGTTCCCATTTTATTGCCTTCATGTCATCCTCAGCCCATGTGGGAGGGGCAGCCTGGCATCTTCTGTTCAGTCCAACTGGTACAGCCATGGCCCATGTCCTCAGGTCTCAGATACTTTCTTCTGCTACCATTGGTTTTTCCCCCCAGGTGGAAAGAGTTGGGCAGAACTGCCAGCACTGTAATATGGGGAATTCCCTGCAGTGCTGCTGAACATTTGATTAGGAGCTGGGGGAAGTGCCTGGTAAAGTGTGGGAGTCAGCTCTCCTGCTTTATGGCAGAGTTCCCAGCTGTTGATTACCTGTTCCATGATCTTCTTCTGAGTGTAGGCTTAGTGAACTTTCAGATTTGAAAATCTGAATGACAGCTAAAACCACTGTCAAAATGAGCCTGCTATACAGCTGATCAATGGCACAGCAAAGCAGGAGAAGTCCTGTCAGGTTTTAAGGGAGATGACTCTCCCATTTGGTCATGGTGGGGCTGCTGGGTTTTGCAAGAGCCAGCGTTCCTGTTTTATAATACAGCTCCCCCCCGCCCCCCCATCTTTGGACATATGGACACTATCCTGCATTGGCACACGCAGTTAAAAAGGAGAAGTCAGTCAGTCACCTGTGAAAACTCACCATCTCCCCAGCCCCATCTATGCCCTATCCTTTCCTCCCAATTAATATATGGGCTTCTCTTGGCTAGTGATATCCAGAAAGCAGGAGGCAGCAAAGCCTGAGCATTTCATGGACCGTTTTGCTCAATATGCCCTGCACATGCAAAACCAAAACATCACCCTTTAGCAACAAAACAAAACAGAGACAATAGATACAGAATGCACATCTCCTGTGAGATCAGAGAATTTTATGCTGGCATAGTTTCTGCCAACTAATAAATGGGTGGGTGGGTAGCACTTTACCTTACAATACTTTCTCAGATTCTGGGCACCAATTCCATCTATCCATTTTTTACAAGAAAATCGTGCTAAATGCTTTGCAGGGCTTGGTTTCAGCAAAGTATTAGCAGATACTATAGGGGCAGCTCCATATAAATCAGTCTTGCCTAAGGCTACATTCAAGTGAATCTGAGAGGCATCTGCTGTGAGAAACAAAATTGGTCCTTACCTAATTCAGCAAGGCTATTCTTATGTTGTATTTCTACAGTATGTTCTTACCATACTCTAGCAGGTAATGGCCAAATTATTTGTTTTTAAAGCCAATGATTTCATATATATTAATCTATTTTAATTATATGACTCCCATTATTTGAAGTTTCATTGCAAATGACAACTTATTTCGCTGAAACAAAGCATCAGAAAACTCATACTATGACAGAAAGGTTCAGGAAGCAGCAGTGAATGCCTTGAGTATTTTGAAATGCCAGACACTGACCTAAATTTTTAAAAGAACATGCATAATTTCTTGAGCCTAAACTTTATCTATTTACAATAAACACTATTTACAGTAAACATTTATTTACAATAAAACACTCAACAAAAACAAATGGGGTGGACAAACAGAAAACCAGTAACATCAAGCTACAAAAGCTTACATCTGCAACTACATTTGGGGACAGACTGTAGATTCCTGAATCTATCATAGCAGAGTTCAGCCATTATGGGTGTGTGTATAGAAAAGATAAGTCAGTTAAATATACAAGAGGCCATTTTGTTTTCTAATTTTCATAAACCAATCCTGAAAAAATTATGCCATCAAAATTTGAGGGCTCCAGGGACTGCAAAAAAAAAAAAAGGTTGTGGGGCTTCATGTGGTTCACAAGCTGCACCACTGAATTATGTGTATATGATTATTTGCATTTCTGATTTGTTACATCTTTGGTTATAGCTAAACATCACCACAGTACAAAAAAAGTAATACTAAGGTTTTCAGTACTGATTCTACCAATTTATTTTATCTAGATAATCTTATCTAGGTCTTCATGGTTTTGCCTTCTCCTAAGAAAAACAGATGCTATAAATAAATCTCACTGCCAATGTTGACTTTTAATAATTCACCCCCCACCTCCCATTGGGTGCATGTTCTGCTTCATCCATTCTATAGGGTAGCAATATTACCTGTGGAAAAAGCCATGCCCAAGAAAGTGTTAAAGCCTGTGATGGCTACGATATCATCCATACTGGCAGCAGCTATCAGCAAAGTTGGAATTCCTTGGTCTACACCATAACCTTGTTTCTGTAACATCAGCATGGAAAGGACCACAACAGCTGGAGATACCGCACCTAGAACAAATCTGAAAGCATATGCTATCAGGCCTCATCAGATAAAGAAGTAATACACAGCCATTGTTAAATCTGCCAAGGTTTGTAGGAGGCAGCAGAATATGAATGATTAAAGAATGTATTGATAGAAAGGTCACTTTCTTCCCCCCAACACTTTAGAATGTTTTATTTTTACTTTATGTTGGAAAAACAAACAAGCAAACAAAAATGAGGTAGGTATGGTTTCCTATCACAACTGTACTATTCCCTAAATATTCTGTGAACATTCCAAGCATTGGTATGACCCCAAATAGTTATGATGGGCCTTTCCCAACTTGTACTGGCTGGGGAGTAAGGGAGTTGTAGCCCAACAGAACTGGGGGGGGGGGGGGATGGGGGAAAATGGGGGGTAAGATTGTAGAAAAA